TAATGCCCTAAAATATAATACTTTTAGACTATTCTCTCCCCCATAGACTTCAATGCCGTAAACATATTTCATCCAGTTTTTCTCAGTCTTACCCCCATAAATTGGCCTTTATTTCCTGCTTTGGCTATTTCCCAGAGGTTTTGATAAGTTGTATTTTCATTATCATTTGCTTTATGAAACTTAATTTTATTTTTTATTCCTCCTAATACCCATTCATGTTCAAGCAAAGTATTGTTCAGCTTCCAAATGTATGGCTTTCTCTCCTAGTTACTAATTTCTAATTTTCTATCATTGTGGTCTGAGACAATGCTTTGTATTATTTCTATGTTGTTGTTTTTTAAAATTTTGTTGATGCTTGCTTTGTGACCTAAAACGTGATCTATTCTGGAGAAAGTACCATGCACATTGGAGAAGGTATACTGCACTTCTTTGGAGTGCCTATGAGAATGGGTTGGTTTATTATATGGTTTAATTCATCATCATCTTTGTTGAATTTCTTTCAGTATTTCTATTTTTTTTCTTGAGGGTTGTGTATTGAAGTCTCCTACTACTATTGTAGTGTTGTCTTTTTTTTCTTTTCAGTTCTGTTAATGTTTGCATTAGAAAGCTGGACAATGACTAGGAATGATAAAAGGAGAATTGATGCCTTTGAGCTGTGGTTCTGGAGAAGAGTATTGAATATGCCATGGACTTTTAGGAGAACAAACAGTTTTGTCCTACAGAGAGTGAGACTGGGCTGCTCCTTGGAGGCAAGGATTCTGAAGCTTCATTTGACATACTTTGGACATGTTGCAAGGAGAGACCTGTCCTTGGAGAGGGACGTCATGCTTGGGATGATGGAGAGACAGCACAAGAGAGGCAGCCCCTTGATGAGATGGATTAATTCAACAACTGGGGTAATGGTGGTGGGCGTGTCAGAGACAATAAAATTGGCACAGGACAGAGTAGGGTTTAGGGCTGTTGTACATAGGGTCACTATGAGTCACCAGCAACTTAACGGCACATAACAATAACAACAACAATTATTTGATGTATAGATATTTATTATGGTTTTGTCCTCTTATACTGTTGACCCTTTAAACCTTATATAGTAGCCTTCCTTGTCCTTCCTGATAGTTTTTGTGCTAAACTCTATTTTATCAGAGATTAATATTGCCACTCCTGCTTTTGTTCTGGATTTCATTTGCTTGGTCTATTATTTTCCTCACCCTTTTGTTTTTGTCTTTCTTTATTTTCACTTTTCAGGTGTATCTCTTGTAGACAGTATACTGATGTTTTGTTCAGTTTTTTAAATCTAATTGACTACTCCTTTTCTCTTCACTGGTGCATTTAAACCATCCCATTCAGTGTAATTATTAAGAGACAAGGTTTTATTACTATTATTTTGTCGTGTGCTTTTGGTGTTGTTGCTGGTTACTTTGGTCCATCCTGTTTTCTGTGGCATCTATGTAAGAAGGACTTCCCTCAGTATTCCCTGCAACACTGGTCTTTATTTTACACACTCCCTTAGATTCTGCTTTTCTGAGAATATTTTGATGTCTCCTTCATATTTGGTGGGCATTTTTGCTAGGTACAGTATTGACAGTTGTATTCTTTGAGTGTTTGATAGATGTCATTCCATTGTCTTCTTGCTTGCATGGTTTCTGCTGATAAATTGACACTTAATCTTATTTATTCTCCCTTGTAGTTTACTCTTTGTTTCTCCCTCACTTTGTTCAGAATTCTCTCCCTGTCTGGCAAATTTGACTATAATATGCCTTGGTGTTTTTATTTTGGGGGTCTATTCTATATGGCTTTCACTCAGCTTTCTGAAAAAAAATTATATATATATATATTCTCTCATGCTTTTACTTACTTCTTCCTGTTCTGGGATCCTGATTATGTCCATGTTATTCCTGTTGATGGTATCTCAGGCTGATTAGGTTGATGGTATCCTGGGATAGCAGAGTCTCCAGGTGCCAGGGCAGCAGTCTAGTGCTCTGGGGAGGATCAAGGTCTGGGTTACACTGGAACTGTAGCCCCTTGAACTGGAAGGCAGTGGTTTGTGGCTGGCTGAGATGTGAGTATGCCTGCACTGGGGCACAGCCTTTAGTCGATACCAGGGAAAAAGTGGCAGGAAGACATTCCTGGGCCCAGCCATGCCACACAATCCTTGGTGTCTTGCAGCTT